GACGAGACGCTCAATGCTCTCCTAGCCAATTTGGCTGAAGCATCCCACGCAGCGGCATTCGAACGAGGCGTGTTCAACCGCCTGGATCTCCAGGTGGCGCTGGGCATAGGCGTTGGTCGATCTTCCTGATGGCTTGTGCCGTGCTTCTTGTGGCGCTGATGGTGGTGCACGTCAGCGCGACTGTCGACCCCGCAGTTCCAGAGTGGGTCGCGCAGCTGGCGTCGACGAGCGCCGACCAGACACGCTTCGGGACATTACAGTTCGTTGCGAGTACTGTTCCTGGCTTGCTTCGCTCAGGATCGATAGTGGCATAAGCTCAACGCATTCGCTCCTGGGTGTCTGTAAACCCGTGCGCGACGGTTGGATTCGCCTTGGAACTCGTCGTGCTCGCACGGGCGCATATACCTACGAGCATATGCCACGCACCTTCCCCCAGGCAAGATCGCCACAGACCTTGACTTCGCTCATATCTTCAGTGGGCGGGATAGCCCAGGCAAAGCAATGCTGCGGAGAGGATACAACGTGGGCTCCTTCGACATTATTAACCATGTGTCGCAAGACATAACCACGTGTGCAGGGATGCTGTGGTGCGCAATCTTGTGTTTCCGCGTGCGTCCGAAGGGGTTCGTGCATTTCGGCGTGGACTGTCGAAGCTATGCGTGGATCAGCCGATGGCAGAGTGGCAGGTCGTCTGATGATCCCGTTGGGAATGATTCGTACACTCTCGTCAACGTTGGGAACACCATGGCGTTGTTCGTGAGTTGGGTGTGCACGCACTTAAGCCTGGCACGTGTTTACATTTCAATCGAGCAACCCACCACCTCAATTTTTAAGCACCACCCTGCGTTTCTCTCGCTCAAGAAGCGTGTTACTATCAATACGATCTGCACGTGGTTGGGTGCATTTGACCGCTCCCTGCCAATCCCCAAGGCCGTGCATATCTTTACGTGCGCTTCGCGCCAGCACATCTGGCGCATACTTCGCCAGGGGATGCATCGGTGCCAGCCCCCCCCCCCACCCCCTAGATGTATACAGAAATCGAGGACGCACGCTGCCTCTTGTGCACCCGACGTGGTGTGTGGATACCACTGTTCCTATCGATGTAGCGAAGCGTTTTTTGCGGCGTAGCATGCCGACAAAGATGCATCAGCCGAAGCGTCGCGAGGCAGTCTGGCGGATGGACGGCACGTATGTCGTGGGAGGTTCCGCTTTGAAAGGCACTGGCACGTACCCGAGGGCGTTCGGCGAGAGCATGGCCAAGATGGCAATTCATCTTTTGGGAGACGCCACTCCCTGATTATCAATGTGGCAGGAAGGGGGAGGAGATGAAGGGAGAAGATCGGACGGAGGGAGAGGAGAGGACGGCAGCCCTACGCATTTTAGCAACGATGTGTCACATCGTGAATTAGTTGCTTGAACTTGCTCGCGTGCGCAAGCATGCGGCTTCAGTCGAAGCGCCCTGATACTGTTTGAACACGGACGGCAATGATGCCGCGGGACGTGCAGCGCCGGACGCGTTGGCACCTACCTGATAACATGTACCTTGAGCATGACCAAGATGGCCAGCCATCTGTTGGGCGAGTGCACGCCCTGATCTCTTTGTGGGATTCGGGGGAAGAGGTAATCATAATGATGGCGGGTGGCTCCCGTGCGTACGCGAGCGACGTATGACGTCGTGAATTAGCTCACTGCAGTATGCCGCGTGTGTAAACATGGTGCTCAATCCTGTCGACGTTCGACTCTGGTTGAAATTGGTCCGCGTCGCCTTGTCGCTCACCCCCTGCAGCTCGCAAGATCTCTCCTGCTCATCCTCGCATCACTGATCCGCCTCCACCTCCGTATCTTTCTCACCGCCTGTCGCTCACCCCCTGCAGCACGCGCCCCATCTCCTGCTCATCATCCTCTTCCTGATCCGTCTCGTCCTTCTCCTCCTGCCCCTCATCCTCCCCCCCATCCTCCCCCCCCCCCCCTCCTCCTCCCCCTCCCCCTCCTCGGGGCGACCCTCTTCATCCGCATTCCCCCCTGCGGTCTCCCTGAACAGCCATCTAATTCAACAACAGGCGCTGGCCCTGTGACATCCTGCTCGCTCTCTGGTGCAAGGCTCCCGTCTCATCTCGCCGTTCGGTGCCAGACCCCTGGGGTGGAGATTGCGGGAACCCTAAGCCATCCCGCTGCCCCCCGCCTAACCCTCCTGGTTCGATGCATCGGCGTTGTGTCATCGATGCGTCATCGATGCCGTCATCGATGACGGTGCCGATGCGTCGCCGATGTCTCGCAAACTGCAACCCTCCGACTGGCGACCGACGACCAACAGCGACGACCACGGTGGACGACGGTCGACGAGACGACGAGGACGACAGTCGCGACTGCGACGATGAAGATGTCAATGGCACCAACGTGGAAACCCGTGTGTCCTTAGACGTCTGTTGGGCTCGAGGCTCGCGTGGTGAGTTGCTCGTTTCTCTACGCGCGGCGAGCCCGCGAGACGCGCCATGTCTTTCGGAGGCAGCCCGCGCTCCGCGAACTGGAGCACCTCTCCAGGAAGCACGAAGAACGCTTACATCATGCATTGCTACGTGCCGCAGTGCAACACCTGGATCAAGCTGAACGTTCAGAAGACGAAGCCCCGCGAGGTCAACAAGCAGACCTTCGAGGAAGTCGCCCAGGAGATCATCTACAATATCGAGTACGTCATGGCTAAGAACATCCTGGTTGAGCTCAAGCACCGCTTGAGCGTTTTCGAACAGGAGGACGACAAGGATATCATCTTGCACAGGTGCTCTGCGCAGCAGCCTCGCGGCGATCCGTTGCAGGGTGATGACCAGGTCTTCTACTTGACGTGGCTCGTGGCTTGGACGGCGAACAGCGGCGTCGTGCTGGACAAGGCTGCCGAGGAAGGTCTCCACTCACAGGAGGAGCCGCTCCTGCGCTGGGTGTACATGGGGCCATCTGACCCGACGAACCTACTATCGGTGCTGGTCTACATCGAGCCGTGCAACCATTGGCAAGAAGTGTGGCTGCCAAACCGTCAGCTCACCACGAACGGGCAGGTCCGCACGACGGTCAAGGACATGAAGATCACCATCATGAGCCACTTCGAGGCTGTGAAGGTGAACAACAACTTTACCCTGGAGTTCTCGCCGAACCACATCGAGATCCGCCGTTGCGCGGGCAGCCCCCCTGTGGGCGAAGCGCTCTTGGACGGCGATGTCGTGACGGATAACAAAAGGTGGTATTACGTGACGGCTGACAGGATGGTCCAAGAGTTAAGGGCCTTGCAGGCCGCGAAGGATGATACCCAGTGATGCCGCAGACTATGTCCTGCAGTGAATCTGTGCTGCATGCAGGCTCTCGCATTCTTTCAAGCTGCACCTTTGGCAGCAACATCAGCGGCTGGGTTTCCAGCTGCGGGCGGTGAGCCACGCGTGTCGCGAGGCGCTTCAGCCAAAGTAACTACACGAGGGAAGGGAGGAATGAAGGAATGACGGAAGGGAGAGCCAGGAGATGCAGACGGGAGGGCGAGCCATGAGAGGCAGACGGGAGGGCGAGCCACGCGTGCCGCGAGGCGCTTCAGCCCAAGCAACTACAGGATCATAACATTTTTAGCCGAGAGCCAGCCGCAGCCAGTCGTGCGAGGCGCCAGTCGCAGCCAACCGTGCGAGGCGCCAGTCGTAGCCAGTGCACCGTGCGAGGCGCAAGTCGAGCCCGTTCCTGCCAGTCAAATGCCCAGCTCGACCAGCTTCGATGTGTAAGCCACTCCTCATCAACCACCTCCTCACCCTCTGTCGTGTGAGGCCACTCCTCCCCGACTGTCGCTCGAAGCACGCTCCAACCTCAATTTGCGTCGCGTTGGATGGAGGGAGCTTCACTTCAAAATTGGGCCCTGGTCAGCGATTTCGATTGCATCGACTGGATTGCGTCATCCTCAACGATCGATGGCGATTTTATTGCAACCAGCCCGCCCCTTCCTCCCGCAGTTCTCGGCGCGGGAGTTCAGTTGCATTGCGTGGCTTGCGTTGCATCGCTGACCAGCTCAGCGGATCGATGACGGCTCGCTCCAAAGACCCCCCGACCCCCGTCGGCGATTAAGAAAACAACCTGCGACGAGCGAGATATACAGAACATGATATATATATATATATATATATATATATATATATATAGAGAGAGAGAGGGTGGGGGAACAACCACACCACAAGCACATAGATCGAGCCATACATAGCGTGCAACAGCATCGCTAACATGTTTTAAACGCTGAGAAACGCGATGGTGGTCTAGCTGCTTTGGCTCGAATATGGGTTTCGTCGAGCCTACTGTTTTTTTACATCCCGACTCGCACCGAGAGCATGACATCATTGGTCATGCCGCCGAGGC